GTTTCAATCGAGAAACGCAAAAACAACCTCGTGAGCTCCTTGTTGAATTCAAGAAATATTTTCCTAGAGCCACTTTTCAAAGTATAATGCGAAATAGTAGCATAATCCATAGCCTAAATCAAGGCCGAATATGAAAAACAAGGACGAGTTCCCAATTAATTTAGCCGTGGTACCCCTACGGCATAAGCTAATAAAAAATTAGTACATACACGCCCATAACCTAATAGAGTTATTTTTAAGCCCTCGTTAGTTTACGAAACTTTAAACTTAGAGATCAAAAGGGTTAGGAGCCTTGAGTCAATGCAAATAAGCATAATCATGACAGCAAATTCTTAGCCGAATATCTTTGCACACTTTTCGGAATAATCGACTCCGGTGCCAAAGATCGACTCCGTTCCACCTGTGACATCACATGTGCTCCGGTGCCCACCGACACTATATATAGAGGGCCACCGCACATCCTCATTTAAGCCTGAAGAGTTCGAATAAGAACGAAACTAGTAGCTGAGAAAAATCTGGGAAGGCTGTTCGCCTATTTACAGATTTTTTACTTAACTTTTGTCATTTATACATAAACATTACATCATTCAGAATTTATGGAATGCGGTGCATCTTAGGTTATTGTGAGAATAACATACATAAATTTAAATATTTCAGAATTAATGTAATACACCTCTGTATATGTATCTAAAAGATCCCTTAGTAGTTTCAAATTGAGGAAGAGTAGAGCAACTCTTCTCCAGATTCCAATTGGCAACGTTTCTTTTACAGAATGAAGAAGTAAAAATGGTTGATATTTTTAACTGGACATATATCTAAAAATAAAATTATGTATTTAATCTAACCTAAACATAGAAATACTTCTACTTTAAACTTTACAAGTATATGTAGAGAGCAAAAACTCATGTCTTCCCAATCTTCTCTACATGGATATAATTCCTTGATATCGGGATATTAGAAAATTGCCATATTGTCCGTCCCTAATTTCTTGTGAATAGATACATGTAGCATGTGGCAATTTATTGTTTGAAGAAAGACCAATCAAGTAATTGGCCCAGGTTAATTGCAAATCTTGAAATCATCAATATCTCTTTATTACAGCTTAATGACTTTCCTTTCAAGTTTTTTTCTCTTCACATTTTTTTCTTTTTTTTTGTTGTTAATTGACAAAAAAAAAATACTTGAGTCAGCCTTAGTCAATAGCATTATTTGTATGTTGATAAGAAAATCATTTAATGAAATCTTGACAACGCTGCACCATGCAGGTAGATTAAACATGATACAACTATCACATAATCACCGCAATAAATTAAAGGCCCGCTTCTACTCCACTGACTTCTCTTAAACTTTTAAAGAAGCTAAACCTTTTAGTTCAAAATAAGGTTTCAGTTGGGTGGATATAACATTTAACAGCCTACTTTTCTGCTCCCCAAAAGGGCTTAGTTTGAATTCCAACTTTCAAGGTTCTTTTAAATGCATGCCAATGGGAACCTTGAGCCAATGTCTTATTCACCGTGGCTCCCTTGATATTGGTATAATGTGTTATTTTGATTAGTGACGATGCAAGCTCAATACCATTCAATTTCTACTTGGAAAGATTAAGCAGAAATGTCAGTTTGTTGACTAATTTTAGTTTCATTTTTGGCTTAGTACAGCGTTGACAACGAACACGCAATCAATTGTATCTTAACATTGGCTATTAATATATATAGGGAGAGAGAGAGAGACTGAAAAATTGGTTTTAATGTCCACTCGACACAAACTAGGTCATTTCAGGACTGACATATGGTACAATTTTATTTCAATAATTTGCTTGGATGTTGAGGTCTTTGTAGTGGGAGTAAACCAGAGGAGCCAGTTAAATAACACAAGTTAAATAACAACTCTTCCAGATCCAAGTGTAGTAAAGACAAGTAAAACGAAATTTTGAACTATAAAAACGAAACGAAATAGGATCTGTGTTTCAACCAGATTGCCATCCACCCTTTATTTACAGATTTTTTAACCAAAGCCGATTGTCATCACATAACACAAATAAATGAGTTCCTAAAATCAAATTAACGAAGAAATGGGCCTTTAAAGCGGTGAAACATGTAATACGCGTCTTCATGTCAATCAATATAACTCTTAATGAAGTTTGATTTAATACTGATTAGTCCTCATTAACCTATCATATAATAGATATCTCTCGCTCTTTTGTTCTCTTGGCTTACCACAGCAATCAGCAGTAATCTAACCACAACAAAACTATCATAAATCTCTGACTTATACAAACAAATATTACATCTCAATTCAAATTAAAACTAGTGTAGAAGAAATGAAATGGGGTTTACTTTTCTGTACCAACCTGGCTAATGAAGAGAGGTATATACCATGCTGTGTGATGTGAGGAAAATCGTGCCCTGACAGTGGAATTACCGCCCACTATCCTTCGATTTCATGGATTCTTTTACATGTACGACAACAATTATATGTGTGAACCTCAGTTTACAAAACCAGACAGGGAAATCCAGAGTAACTTTCTTGATTGACACTGTGATAGAATCCAAGCCACTATAGCTCTGTACTGGTTCATCAACATCCCTTGTCCTTCAACATGTTTTGGTAGTTATAGGAGTAGTCCATCTGTGTATTAATCAACAAACAAATACTATAATGATAATAGTAAGTGTGAGAGAACCACACCACATGGAAAATAAAACCGACAAGACAAACCTGTGGACAAGACAATCTACACAGATATTTCAAGAAATATCAACAACAGTGAATAGATCCAAGAGGGGAAGGGGTAGCCATAAGTGTTCACTGCACTTGACTGTTCCAGGCCTGTAATGATACATACACTGTAACCCAAGTATCGTTTAATCTTGTGTATCTAGCACTAATTTCTTTCACATTCGTTTAATATCAAATCTTTGTTTAAAAATTTGTAAAGACTGTTTAAAATCACCAAAATTCATCTAATTTGTACATGTATCCAGTTTAAAGCTGACTGATTAATTTTGATAATGAGTGTCCAATTTACAAGTATTTAATTTCCTGATCACTGTTCAAAAATTAATCATTATACATCATTAATCAATTTGGTTGTTTATTTTTTAACAATGATTGAGAAATTAAACACTTGTAAATTGGACACTCATTATCAAAATTGAATGGTCAGCTTTAAATTGGACAGAAGTACAAATTAAACGATTTATGGTGATTTTAAACAATTTTTACAAATTTTTAAACAAAGATTGGATATTAAACGAATGTGAAAGAAATTAGTGCTAGATACACAAGATTAAACGATACCTGGATTACAGTGATATATTGAATATCAAAAACTAAGTAAGATTTTGTTTCCAGTGAATTTTAAAATAAATCTTTGGTTAAATGCAGAACTATTGTTATCTTGAATGGTTTCCTAGGTATGAGTCAAATTTTTTTCAATGAAAAAACACAGAAATTAATCAGCTGACTTCAATAAACATAAGACAAAAATAATGTTAGGAGGTATATTGAATGGATTATGAGATATGCTCTGATGTAATGTACAGTTATTCATAAAGATATCTTGAACCATTTATGAGATATGCTCTTAAATAAAATTGTTTAGCCAATTTTTTTCCATGGAAACCCCAAAATTACTAAATTCAAGAATTTTTCCAGTGACAAAAGTCACAAATACTATGATCTGGAAACAAAAGGAGGACTGACGGATGCAGTCCATTGACTCCATTTCAATATCCCACCTCTAAACTTCCTATGGCGTTGGATAATTAAGAAAAACAGAAGCGACAAGCATTATCTATATCTGCTAAATATTCCCTGTTGTTTTTATTCATAAATTATTTCATGAATGTTCACAGAAGATAGGATGCGATGAATGATGTGTTATTTTAAGCCTCTCAATGTTGAAGAAAATGGGATATTAAGTAGAAAATTACATCTTTCAGTTGAGATAATTTTGAAGTAAACTGTGATAAAGCAGGGGTTATTAAGCCAGCTTTTCTTACAAGAATAATACATGACACAAAGTTGAGATAATATATATTTTTTCCTACACAATAAAATATTTCATACATTTGGCATCCAAGTAGCTTCTTTATTTAGAAAATTATCTGAACAGATATAAAATGAGATTTTAATTCCAGCCTATTGTTGATGAAGATTTGTTGTTATGAGTCAAAGATTGTGAGCATAACCAGAAATTAGAAGAGAACTTATAATCTCTAGGGATGTGGTGACATATTTTTTTATTTTTTTTTATTGTTTGGCATTATGAGTCAAGGATTATGAGAACAGGAGCATAACCGGAAGTTTGTTAAGGAGAGATATTGGTTCATAAAAATATAATCTCTTATTTCCCAAATTCAGTGACATGTGACATATACCAACCCACAACTCTTTACCACCAATACTTTATTTTAGTACTATAATTTGTAATCATGGGCGCACTAACCATGGGGTCATGGGGGTTAGCAACTGCGCTCCAAAATTTGGGTAAAAACGAGGAACAACAAAGCAAAAATATTAACAATGATGGCAAATTAATTCCCAGCTAATAGTCTTGATAAACAAACCCCATAAAAAAATTTCCAGGAGTACAGGAATTAATGCAAAGCTCTAATTTCTTGGTTTGGAAATCTAACTGCAATCAAAATTACTATATCAAGTGCTTCTTTACTTTGTAAAATTTTCGAATGTGTCGTCATTTACATCCACACCAATATCCCTTACAGCCCTTTTGCTCAATTGTTGGGTCATGCTTTGATGGTTTCCCCATAAAGAAAAGTAAGCCAGCTGAATTGTAAGGTGCATGTTGTGTGATTTGTATTAAATATGAATCGTAGATTGATAAATTAATGTGTCATTAATTAAGATTCTTGCTAGGTAATATTTAAACAGTAATTGCATTCCATAGAACTGTGTCCTTTTTATTTCCAGTTCAATCAATAAATGTCATTTGGTTATAACGAGGATGATTTTGGGACTAAAAAAAGAGATTGACATACCTCTCCATTTTTTATTGGATGGAACCAGCCCCTGAACAGCGCCATATTATATGCCGTCTCTGTTGCCTAGAAAATAAAGAACATACAGGTATAAATGTCAAACAGACAATGCAGCCCATCTCCCATATTCCCAAAGCAATGGTAATGGTTACCCATTCCTTAACCACTGTCCATACTTGATAGCAATAAAGATCAGTTAAATTAATAAAAGTCTCCTTGGCTTGTATCCCATTTTTTGATATATATATATTGTTTAAACCAAGGGTGGTTTGTTTTCAAAGGAAAGTACTAATTTAGGCATCAATTAGGAAATGTAGGGTAAAGTTCATTCCAATCAATGCATGTTAAATCAAGAGGAGAAAGTATAAAATCATAACAAGCACAACAACGTAGAGTGAATGGACCTGGTTCCCAACGAAAATTTGTTTTTATGTTTAGCCTACTCCACCTCTTACATGTAAGTTGTTGCAAAAGATAACTAATCAGTAATACCACAATACTACATAAAGTAAGTGTAGCAATAGTTAATGAGCTGCTTATGCTCATATCCATTGCTTTAGGAATATTTCTATTGCCTCAACAAAAGTAAAGAAATAAACAGTACATGAATATACACAAAAAATCTCAACAAAACATATGAAAAACAGTACATATAGGACAGACAGTACATTAATACACCCCAAAACAAACAGCACATAAATACTAGCCCTAACAGTACATAATTACAACCCAATACATAGGACAAACAGAACAAAAATACAATCCAAAACATTGGAAAAACAGTACATATATAAGTATAACCCAAATTGCCAAACTGTACGTGAACCCATCCTTTTGGTACATTTATTCTAGACGCAATTTATTTGGGTGGATTCTACATAGAAAGTGAATAGAAATACAATTTGTGATAGATCAAATATTGTCTGAATTGCCGTTTATGAGCAGAATTGTGATTTGTAATCCATGTGGTGAAGCCATTTGATTCAAAATAACTAGGTTTATTTTGTTAAATTTCCAACTGCTATGAAATCTCTGCAGATTTCCCCCGTCTTTTTTTTCGTGATCCGTATCAGTGGGGAGTGCTGCTAATTAAATATCTAAATAATAAATACCAGAAATAGATATATTAACCATCTGTGCATGCAATGCATGGTATTGCTTCATTTTCATTCATATATCTAGAGTTATTCCCCTTTAAAAGAGCAATGAAATGAAAAGAAACCGAGCTAATGAAGATGGTCATACAAAAGTGTGCCTAGCCTTGTTTTGAATTCCAACTGTCAAGCCAACGTGCAGACGGGACCTTGGTAAAACATGAGGAACTTTCTCTGCCAACACATGGAGCGAACCTGGGACCGCCTAAGTTAGTAAGCCAGCATCTTATCCACAGAGTCCTACACATACAGGGTCTTTAGCATTGTGAGGAAACTGGAGGAGAAAACACATGGTATATCTGTTGTTTGGCAATTCTAAATCGCTTGAGCATATAGAGGCCTTAGCAGGGTGAGGAAACTGGAGAACCCAGAGAAAACCCATGAGACTAGGGGTTCAACCCTATTCCTTGTCATGAACACAGACCATATCATCTAGCTTACAACCACCCAACCTCCACTTCTATTACATAATAATACATACTATTAAGACCCCCCTCCCCCCAGATCCATTCATTATCAGTAAATTTATTACTTGTAATGTCCATGTGTGATGTGTATTGTCAGAGAGTTTGTATTTTGAGATCTTCTTTGTTTATGTGTGGTGTGGTTCTCCTGCATTTACTATTAGATAAATTTTATTGCATAAAACTGCACACGTTATCAAGGTGAGCGTAATAAATTAATTCTTCGTGTAGGAAGGTTAAAAGCCTAAGGTAATTAAACCTAATCTTATCATAAAAATGAGATGCTCCATGTATTTTTATTATTAAAATTACCGTCATAAAACAAATATTATTAAAGATTACTTGACTTAAGATAGAGATCATTATCTACCCATAAATAATGAATGTGTTCCTCCCTCAAAATGTATACATAATCCACCATGGATATCATTTTTCTTACTCATACTATTTTGTTTCGGCTGTTCTCTGGTTTTATCTGTGTATTATATCATTCTGCCAAATAACATGTTGACTAGTTCTGGTAGCTTAAACTTTAAAATGGTATACAATGTTCTAGATAGAATGGAATTAAATAGGGTTAAATATCTTGTCAACACATTCTTTTGGTCAATTTAAGACTGACATATGTTATTTTTCATTTCATTTCAATCGGATTCCAGCTGCCAAGGGTTCTTGTACATACACAGAGTAAACTCCAGTTTTTTTTGTTCCATCCAAATGACAGGACATACCTTTCTTGTCAACTTTGCAGGTGCCACCCCTAACAAGTGAAAACCAGGTTTAAACAAATCATAAAGGTTCTTTTCGAACCAGGGGCATTCTTGTTGAGAACCTTCGTGGACCAATCTAGACAGATTAAGCATACTTGATCTAGATGTGACACTCACCATTACATACAGATAAATGGGGAGCCATCATTTCAGACGCCAAAGCTAACTGTTAAGATATAACCTCCGGGTATGGTTGACCGTCACCTGTCTAGTTTTGGGACTCAAAGTTTATATTCTACCTAGTAGCATGCAGCTTCCAATAATCACTCCAGTTAAATATTGGCAGTGAAATGTGTCGTGCATGGGGCAGGGTATGCTTACTCTTTTAAGAATAACTTATGTCACTTCTCAATTAGCTGTAATAATCAACGTGTACTGTATATGAGGCAGGGTACAATTCTAGAACACCTGATATCACATCTTATTTGATTAGTTCACACAGCTAGAAAGTCGTCATAAAATGAACATTTCTTTGCAATGACAAACAAAAGTTTTCTCAGCCAATTGATACCATTTCCCGCAATAACGAGCTATAGACCTTAAATGAGAGAAATGCTATATAAAAAAAGTCTTCAATTCAGTGCCAAGAACTACTGTTGAAAACATTTATTTGTTTCATTAAGCATATTTTACTTTGTTCTAACACGATCGTAGCCAATACAAGTATAGAATATAATTATTGGAGGCTGGTTTCTACTAAGTAACCAATGTGAAGAAAGTTAAATGTTTTTATTGAAAGTAAAGCGAATCAGGTCAGATGTTGCCGTACATCATCATGTCGGTCTCCGTCTGCAAAGATTTATAGACTTGGTATCATATTTTTTATTCATTGACATAAGAGGCCATAGTTACTGCATGTTATACTCTCATACCTCCCACCGGTTTCGCCTCAAATAGAATCTGTTCATTAAACCAGCTGCCAAACGTCCCTGTCAATCATTCTAACTAGATACCGAGAAAAACCTTGTGGAAGATTCGATGCCGATGAAAAACGTTGAAAAACAGGGCGTCTCTTGTGCGTTATCATCTTTCTCTGTAAGCAATTCACCGTCAAGTATTTGAAAACAGTCGTTTTTTCCATCAGAAATTTTCTATATTTTATCATCTGTCATTCAACACAGCATCTGCTATAGTAGTTAATACTTCATCTTCAACTCATAGATAGACTATCATATACTGGCGATGTCTAGATACATCACGGCAAAATATGTGAGGTTATAATTAACGCACGACCAGTCCTGCATATAACCCAAGATTAGGCAGAATCCAGTCAGATAAGGGCAGACTATCAAGTGTTAATTGTTAAACAACCATTAGATATTTCATATTTCATACCATTTACCCCCCCCCCCCTCCCGGAAAGGTCTCCCAAACAATTATTCCATTTTAGTGGTACACACAACCCAGGTTTTAGCAAAACCCAGACACATCCAGAGTTAATTGTTAACTGTCACCAAGACATCAACTGTTATTAATAATTACTGGAAACAAGCAATTAACTTCCATATTGCATACATTTAACTTGGATATTTCATACCATTGATCTCCCTCCTCCCCAAGGTTCTACAAACAATAAACAGTTATTCCATTACAGTCCAAGACACAATCCAGTTTTTTCCAAGACCCAGACAGATCAGGATAAACCACTGTTAATTGTTAAATGCCATTACTGAAAATAACCATTTAGCCGAAATACTAGATATCATTTCTCAAATGTTGTTTACCAGAATTTTAACTATGTGACCTTATCAAAGGAAGTCTGATATTGATATAGTGGTCTATGATCATATGTTTATATGTTACTGGCTACAGTAGCAACTGGGTGAGTTGACAGCAGTCTGATTAGGCTGACAGCAGTAGAGATCTTTCTGAAATTCATCTTGAGTAACTTTTCCAATTTATTGGTCCATTTACATTTTGTAGCTATAAACAGTGACAGTTGACAATTCACAAGGTTGACAATTCAAATCCTGCTACTTTTAAATCAGGGCATCACCAGATTAACTAACCATGAAACACAGTGGGGCCAAGGCATCAGGGCCCCCCAAACACCCACCACACACACACACACAAAAAAATCTTAGTTGCACAAAAAGCAATGAGAGCATGGTCGGACCGAGGACTCCTTCTGCTAGTCTTGGATGTTGATGTCCCTTAAATCCATGGTAGGCCCATGTTGCAGTTGACATCTGAGAATTCGGGGTAATCTACGATGGGTCGAAATAGGCTCATATATTTGGTGCGACTGGCCTCTGAGAGTGATATACTACACACCATAAATTTTGAAGAAACCATTGCAAAATTTGCCATAGGCAAGAAAAGATCATCAAACTCTTACAGGGACCTGTTAATGCCATGATATTCATACAGACGGTTGAAAGACTGAGTGTTGTAGCGAATTTTGGCTTAGATTGATGTACATAATTTAGTTAGCTATATAATTTTCCATGCATACATCACATCATGATCACATGAAATAGTCTGATTTCTGAATTTAATCTTGTATGGTGCTTACAGTGTTCGAAGTCTGTCAAAAATCGACACCGGTCGTTTACTATGTCGTAACATTACGGCCTTCATGGATTTGACTCTCCGTATCAAAGACTCCCCATATTTGTGGAATAATACTGCCTAAGTTCTGGTCACTTGTATTAAGTTGGGGCCACCATATGGTCAAG